GTGCACTTAGAGCTGACTCAGGCCGTGGGCAGCTGGCCACTGCGCAGGAGCCTCCCCGCGCCCAGCCCGTGCTGATGGCCCCTGGGTGGTTTCCACTCTCTGGGGACCGGTCTGTGTTCAAGCGTCTCGGTTGGTGCTGAGGGTCAGCCAGACTGGGAGCCTCTGGCCAAGCTCTGGGCTGACCCTCCCCCACAGCACAGCCCCCCTGTGGGAAGAGGCTGTGCGGAGCTGGGGCGGCTCCTTTCGCAGCAGGAGAAAGAGGGGAGCTTCCTACTAACAGAGGCGGATCCTCTTCCAGCGCCTGCATTGGCCTTGGCTCCTCACACTCCCGAAGGCTCTGATTCAGGGGTGCGGCCGGCTCAGTCCACGTCCACCTGACGGGCACATCAGTGGTCTCCCAGCCGCCACCCTAGCGCCTCCGACACACCCAGACAGCAGCCATCTGTTCACCAATCTCTCCCAGCTCACACCCAGCTTGCCCTGCTCAGAGCCTCTGTCCGCGGCCCCGATCAGATGCAGTCTCCACCCCGTGGCCGGGCCCTGGAGTGGCCCTGCCCACTCTCCCCTGGATCACCGAGGTCTCAGACCTTTGCCCTGTGGTCCCTTCCAGGCCTCCCTGCGTCTCCATCCCACCCCATTCGGGTGTCTCCTTTAGGGCATTGATCACCACGTAGTTACTCGGATCGTTATTAGTCTGCTCATCCGACCGCTGCCCCAGGCCTTGAGGGAGGCACCGCCCTTGTCTCGCTGGCCTCTCCCTGGCGCCCAGCGCAGGGCCCAGCACACAGCAGGTCTGTCATAGATCCGAGGAGCAAGTTAACACAGAGCTACAGCTTGAGACCGAGTAGACTGTGCCCTGGCTCTACCCACAGGCTTCCTTTTTTTTTTTAATCCTCATTTTTTCATTTTTTGTTCAGATAGAGCGGGAGGAAGAGAGAGAGAAACATCTACGTGAAAGGGACACATCGAGTGGCTGCCACCCACACGACCCAACCAGGGTCGGGGACAAACTGCAACCGAGGTACATGCCCTGAGCAGGAACCAAACCGGGGTCTCTCTGGACCGCAGGCCGACGCTCTAACTGCTGAGCCAAACCGGCCAGGGCCCTACAGGCTTCTAATCAGAACTTCTAAAGCTTGAATGTCTAAAGGGTAGAACACATGTGGGGGAGGGGGTTCTCATAGGCACAGGGTGTTTGCAGGTTGGACTCCACAGAATATTATCTGCTTCCACAAAGAACTGCCTCTTCTACATTTTGTTTTTTTTTAACTCAAGGGCATCTTTGGCTAATCTACACTTTCCTACTTTAGTCCAGGCACATGGTTTGGAGAAAGAGTTCCTCTTTCCTCTTATCATGACTGCAGAAAAATCAAAAGTTCAAGCCCAAGGGCAAATGGTAACTGATTACACCTTCGGCATGGGGGAACGATAGGGAAGAGTGGGGACTGTGGCAAACGGGGCTGCAAGTAGGAAACATGGACCTGGGATGACCATACTCTTCATTATTTTAAATCAATAAGAAGCTCAGATTTTTTAAAAATGAAAATTCTCCATTTTAAAAATCCTCTCTGGATTAAACCAATCACAGCAATCCGTAATCTAATCCACGTGTGGTTAAAGGACCCAGGCTCCTCCTCCACATCATCCTTCTCCACATCACCCTCTGTTCATTCAAGCCCAGACCCCGGTGTGAGCAAGTGCTGGCTTCATGTCCTCCCCTCTGGGCCGTTAACCCCGTCTGTGGGCCACACCTGCCTTGTGCCCCAGCACAGACACCAAGTGGGATTCTGAAAGAGCCTGCTCAGAAATGTACCTGTGGGTGTGGGTAGCAGTGCTCAACTATTTGGGAGGGCCCTGAGCTCCCCTCCATCTTAAGTCAGGGGGCACCCAAGAGGCAAACATCTCTCTCCCTGACACCTTAAAGCAGCTTCCGGAGACCTCCCTGAAACGTCCCCCAAAATAGGAAGTTCGAACCAGAAAAAGAAAGTAAACACACACACAAAACTGGTGGGACAGAAAATCCCAAGGGCACTGGAAATAGTCAAACGCTCACCTGCCAGCCAATCTCGACATGCTGCTCTCAGCAGCTCCTGCGTCCCGGGAGACAGTGCACAGTCCTGGGCATGGCTTCGCCCTCCCCACTAGCCAGGTCTCCCCTGCTCCCTACCTGCGGCACTTATATCCCAAATAACACCTGCTTCATCCACCCAGGGCCTTTGCAAGGTCTAGTCTCTCCGCCTGGAATATTTTTCTTCTCCCTTTCAGCCAACCCCTATTCATGCTCCAGGGCTCAGCCTAAACTGACGCCGCCTCAGGGAAGCCCTCCCTGATCTCACCCAGAAAAAGTCAGCGTCCCTCCGCTATTCACCCTCCTGGATCTTGGAGCTCTGTTCTTCCGCTTCCCTGCACATCCCTCCATGGTTACCACTAGGTCTCGGCTTTCTCCGAGGGGCCTTCCCCCCTTGTCTCCCGGAGACAGACACCTGCTATCACACCACTCCACATTACACTCTCCATGGCATTCCTCACGATGCAGAGGTTTTACGTGTTCTGTGTTTATTGTGCCCTCGCGTGTTTTATTGCTGTGGTTAACAGCACCTGGCCCATAGTAGGGGTTCAAGGTATTCAATGAAGCAGGTCCGTTTCACCAGGAACTGAAGGCTCCCCTAGGACTGGAGTGGGCTGGCCTGAGGCTCTACTGCTCCGCTTAAAAGCCCAAGGTGGTCTTAGGAGAAGGGCCGGTGGGGGAGGTACCTGCTGCCCCGGCCTGTTCCCAAACCAGACCTCGCTTCTCCTGCTCACTTGCCCATCTGCAGACAGCCTCAGCTCAGGGACCTGCTAATGAATTAAGCTTGAAGCAGAGGCTGCAGATGACTCTCCTCTGATCATTTCTGCTTCTTTTGGTAAATAAACCTCCACAAGGGCTCTGAGTGGGTTTATTGCCCCATAGAGCTACAGGGAGCTGGGCTCCTCATTAAGGCCCGTACAAATGAGTGTGAGCCAACCTGTGTCTGATTTAAAGAGAGCCCTGAGTGAGGAAATGAAGTTAATGCACGCAGTTTCTCTTGAAAGCTGTCCCTAATAGAGACTAAATGAAGCTGAGGTTTAGCCACCGGGCACAGCGACATCTCACTGCTGAGAGTAAGGGAGAGAAGGGACAAAAAAAGACACTCAGGTTACTTACACCAGTAAAAATCTGTAGACAAGCTAAATGCCCATCTCTGGGGGCATGGGTCATAAGTTACAGTGCACACATAGGATGTCCCTTGTTCCTCAAGGCCTCGGTCTTCTCAGCTATACAATCGACATACCCGCCTCCTGGTCACTGGGTCACTGCCAGCATGCGGCACCACAACCCACGAACAGCGCTCAGCACACAGCTGCACACAGTACGTGCCCAGGAAAAGGAGACATTGTTATTTAATTGTGAGGTACTAGGAAGCCAAAGAATGATGTAGACCTACACTCTCTCCCACGGGAGCCACCAGCCTCAGATGATGATTGAGCACTAAAGTGTGGCTAGTCCCAATTGAGACGCATTGTAAGTTCTATATTAAAAACCTGATTTCAGGCCTGGCCGGTTTGGCTCAGTGGTTGGAGCATCAGCCTACAGACCAGAGAGTCCTGGGTTCGGTTCCCGCTAGGGGCACGTACACGCAAAAATAAAACCTGATTTTAAACACTTAGTACAAAACAAAAAAGAATATATAAATCTCATGAAAAATTCCTTTTACACTGATGACATATTGAAATGATAGATATACTGGATGCACTGTGATTTTAAATAATTGAAACAAATTGCACCTGTTTATTTTCCCTTTATTATGTGGCTCCTAGAACATTTAAAATTACATGGATGGCTCATATTTGTAGTTCAGATTAGATTTCTATCGGACATGCTATTTTAAAAAACTGAGATATCATTCACAAACCATAAACTTCACCCTTTTAAAAGTGTACAGTTCAGTGGTTTTCGGTATATTCGCAAAGTTGTGTAACCATCACCACTAATTCCAGAACATTTTCATCACCCTCAAAAGCAGCCCTGTACCTTATCATTAGCGGTCACTCCCCATTAGTCCATGCTGTTTCGAGTGAAGAAAAGCGAGTTGCAACAGTATCAAGTGGGGTTTTAGAAAAACGAATATACATCACTATTTATATGCATTCCCACATCTGTACATGCATTTTTTAAAAATGTGTGCAATGTTGTACACCAATCTCTTACTGACGGTTATCTCAGGGAACTAGGGCGGGGGGGGGGGGGAGAACAGGGAGAAGGTGCTCCCTTTACTTTATATCCTTCTGTACTGCTTTCGAGATTTAGAGAGAGAATGAGTTGAGTTTGTAGCTCTACCGAAATAGCTCCTGGTGAACTTGGGCAAGTAACTTTTTCACGGCACTGTCAACAGATTGGCTTCTGCTGGAAGAAGGGTCTCTTTTTAGATCTTTTTATTCTGTGCGTTTAAAATAGCAAGTACAGGCAGAGACGAGGTATTTTCCCTCCTAGCAACAGACGGGACCGAGGCCCAGCGAGTCCGCGCACAGACGCAGCCTGTCAGCCTCCTCCTGGGCCCCTGGCGAGCAGCTCGGGCAGAGCGGCCCAGGGCCCTGGCAGGGGTCGTCCTCCCTCGGGGCCCAGCCTGGCGAAGGGCAGCAGCTCCGACGTCCGGGCCGAGGCTGGAGGCCTTGGGTGGGGTGGGGGCCGAGTCTGGGTCCCCTGGTGTGTGTGGGGGTGGCTGGAAGAGGAAGCCGGCGCCACCTGCCCCGCATCTCCGGGTAGCCCTAGCGTGTCTGCGCTCTGCAAACGAGGGCCCTCCTCACGCCGCTACCCCGACCCGGAGCCCCCGCGCCGGCTGCGAGAGGATGCTGCAGGTGAGCCGCGGTCCGGGTCGGAGCAGCAGGCGCCGGGGCCGCCCCAGTGCACTCCTCCCCGAGGATGCGCGGCCCCCGGCCCCCACCCAAGCCTCGCCTCCCGCGCCTCCAACCCCGTCCTGTACCTCCGCCCCGGGCTCGGGAGTCAGGATGAGCGCGAGCTCGCATGCTCCGCTGCGCACGGGCTCCGGCCGGCCGGCGTCCACGAGCAGCATCAGGGGCGCGGCGGGGGCCAGCTGGCCGAGGCTGCCCGGGAGCCGGTCCCCGCGGCCCGGCCTCGGAGTCCCGCCCCCGGCCGGCTGCATGCCCCGCGGACCGCCTGGCGGAGGCGGGTCAGGTGCGCACCAGGCGGCTGCGGCGCGCGCCTGGCGAAGCGCCGGGCCGAGTGGGCAGCGCCGCCCAGTGGCGCGCGCTGCTCACTGCGCCCGGCCCTCGCGCCCGCTGGTAAACAAGAGATCCCCAAACTCGCCGGCGGATTGCAACCTCTTGGGGCTCTTATAAAACTTCCCAAGTTTGGGCCACACACAGTCTCGCGTTGGAACCTACGCGTCACTATTTTTGAAGTTTGCCAGGTGATTTCAACATACATCCGAGTTTGAGAACCATCGGTGTAAACGGTCCCTTTCATTGGAATCCGGGGGGCAGTGGGTCCCAGGTTCCCAGCCGCTGCTGCACGTTGGAAGGCCCCGGGGAGTTTACAGGAGCCGAGAAGCCAGGCCTCCCGGAGACTCAGCCAGAATCCCAGGGGTGGGGCTAGGGCACCGGTTGTTTTTAAAGCTCCGCAGGTGATCCAGCGAGCATCCAGGATAGAAACGGTTATCCTCAAAGACCCTTTCATTTAAAGACTAAAGTCCCGGCTCGCACGGCCCACCCTCCTCCAGCATCTGGTTGGCGCCAGGCGGGGGGTCCTGGAAATTAGGGAATGCGGGTGTGGCATTCCTCCGTGTGGCAGCTTTTAAAATAAGCTCCCCAGAGAATTCTTAAGAGCACTAAATTTGACACCTCCCAATCACCTTATAGAAGGCTTGTCTAGATTCTTTCGGGTGGGATGCACCCCCCAAAACAATGCTAATGAAGAAAAGACTAAACAAGATAAAGAAATATGGGGGAAGTTTAGAGTTCTACTAGTTCCTATAATGACTTTTCCTTTGAAATATTAAATTCGTTTTTAAAAATTTGGCTGGGCTTAGGGTTACAAATAAATATACAGCATGCCCCTCACCACCCTCCCGTTAAATCTGAATTTATATTTTATCCGATGACCGTAGGTAGGGGAGGCAGCACATGACTGGTTTGCCTTCTGGGCAATCTGTCACGGCATAATTCTCACTTCCACATCTGCCCACTGGTCATTTCTCCATGTCCCCACTCAAACATCCAGGCTTTCAGGCCAGAGTCATTTTCTGGAATTCTTGGCAAAGACGTGGGCCTCAGGTGCTTAGGGAAAGGATTTGATAGAAACTCACTGAACCTGCACTCGGTCATTCATAACTGTCAGGACCTTCCCGGTGCTCAGAGCCTTTTCATGCATCACATACACAGACCCTCACCCCTGCAGGCTGGCTGAGGCCCTCCCTTGGAAAAGCCCAGGGTGGCCTCAAATTAGCCAAATAGTCCTGAGCACAGCAAATGTCCCGGGATGAAAGAATCTCAAAAGCATAATGCAGAGAGAGAGAGAAGGAAGACGAGTTGTTGGTGGGTAGGGCACTCTGCCATTAACATCAAGTTTTAACAACATGTGAAAGCACATTAGATGTTCATGGATACAAACATATGGAGTGAGAGTATAAAGTTGTGTCTGAGAATGGCGTGCCAGTGAGGAAAGTGGGTACTCTGTGGGGGGAGTGGAGAAGGATATGGCATGGGGGTTCAATTATAATTGCAACATTTTATTTCTTCGGCTAATATTGGTTATAACATTTACACTTTTTGAATGCCCAAGATAACTCATTAAAAATAACACAAAAAGCCCTGGCCGGTTTGGCTCAACGGTTAGAGCATCGGCCTGTGGTCCAGAGAGGCCCGGGTTTGGTTCCCACTAAGGGCATGTACCTCGGTTGCAGTTTGTCCCAGGCCCCGGTTAGGGTCATGCGGGAGGCGGCCACTCGATGTGTCCCTTTCACGTCGATGTTTCTCTCTCTCTCTCTCACTCTCTCTCTCTCTCCCACTCTACCTGAACAAAAAATGGAAAAATGTCCTCGGGTGAGGATAAAAAAATAAAAAAATAAATAAATAACACAAAAAGCCTGGGGTGTAACTGAAAGTGCAGATTGCCCAGAGACCCTGTCCCTGGAGATGGGGTGTCTGGGGAAGTGATCTGGCATCCCAAGCATCTCAGTGATTCACACCCTGGGCCTGGTTGGCTAGCCAACAGTCATTTCGTTTCTAGTCTTTTTTCCTCTAAATGTGTGATTATGCCTTAGAAACCGTTTGCTAAGAGCACAGATGCCCAAAGCCCGGCCCCAACGTTCTGCATCAGCATCTTTGTGGAGCTGGGCACCAGCATTGAAAAGCTCTGCAACTGAGTCCCATGCTCGCCAGGTCTGAGAGTAACCCCTCCCTAGGGAGCTCCTCCTTGCTGCTGGCCTCAGCCAGGGACCCCCATGGGAGGCCAAAGCAATGATTTTAAACAAAGAGGACTGAATTCATAAAAATCTCCCTGTCTCTCAGTGTGCTGGGCCCATCCCCCAACGCCCTGCCTTGGGTCCACAGATCTTGGGGAGACAGTGGAGCAGGCCGCAAACCAGAGGCCCGGAATGCCGGACAGGGCCGCACCCTGCCCAAACCAGTTTGAACCAGCTTCGGGGATGGAGCCGTGGAGCGGCCCCACGAGCTCCCCCTGGCGCCCAAGCCCGGCTCGGAGCTGCTGCTCTGGCCTCCCACTCCAGAGTCCTCCAAGTGTCTAGAGGGCGGCCTCCACCCCAGCCTCGGTGGGGATGCCAGGGACAGTTAGGCCCGCAAGGCCCCCAGGAGCCCTAGTAGGCCCCAGCTGGGCCCTGAGGTCAGGGGTCCTGAGGTCACACACCCCCCCTCCCCCCACTTCATCTGGCTTCACCTCCTGCTGCAAAATGGTTGCCTGTCTGTGTCTGTTCAAGGTCAGTTCCCTGGCTCAGGCCTCAGGCACACAAGGTTCTAGATTAGCAATGACTCCTGAGCTCAGCTGCACCTTGGAAACTCCTGGGAAACTTCCAGAAAATAATAATGCCCAGACCTCACCCCAGAGACTCATTTAATTGGTCTGGGGTGCGGCTTTGGTCTGGAGAGGTTTAAGAGATCTCGAAGGTGCTTCTAACCTGCACTGTCTCTGTGCTTGCTTAACTCTTGGGTGCCCGGGATCCTGTGGTCCCTTGGTCTCTTCATTAGTCCTCGCTGCTGATGTGCCAGGCACTGTTCTCAACTGTTCACCCAGACGCCTCACTGAGACTCCGCCCCCGCGAGAGGTAGGCAGGCCCTGCCGTGATGCCCATTTCACAGAGGGAGAAACAGAGACGTGCTTGCCCAGGATCATACCTAGTAAAAGGGAAAGTCAGGATTTGAACTCAGTCTGATTCCAGAACCACCTACGAGAAAACCAAACCCCTTTTGGTTCCTGTGGCCGCCTCCCTAGCTCCAGCCTGGCCTAGGACAGCCCTTGCCAACCCACCCTTTCCACTGCCTCCCAAAGCACGTGCTGCTCATCTCCCTTCCTGCTCGTAATTCGTCAGTGGCTCCCCAGTGCCCACCAGGTGAACGTCAAAGACCTGGCCCTACATTGCCGATGTTTCTCACAGCTTTCCTCTTTGAACCCTCGGCTGCAAACAGGAGCCAGGGAGAAAGGCGCCTAGAGTATACACTGTGAGGGGCCTCCCATCGGGGTTGGCCCCTGGGACTGAGGGTCTCCTTGCATTAAGTGCCCTGGGCTCCTGCTGGCCTCTCCCGAGTCCTGGTCCTGCCACATAGCCTGCTGCTGTAGACTGACTGATTCTGTCCTCCCCAAATTAATACGTTGAGCCGGCCCTGGCCGGTTTGGCTCAGCGGTTGGAGCGTCGGCCTGCGGTACAGAGAGACCCGGGTTCGGTTCCCGCTAAGGGCACGTACCTCGGTGGCAGTTTGTCCCTGGCCCTGGTTGGTCGTGCGGGTGGCAGCCACTCGATGTGTCCCTTCACATCGATGTTTCTCTCTCTCTCTCTTCCTCTCTCTCCCTCCCGCTCTATCTGAACAAAAAATGGAAAAATGTCCTCGGGTGAGGATAAAAAAAAAAATACGTTGAGCCGAACCCCCAAGGTGATGGGATTAGGAGGTGGAGGCTTAGGGAGGTGATTAGGTCATGAGGGTGGAGCTCTTACGAATAGGATTAGGGCCCTTACATAAGTGGCCCTAGATCACTGTCCTGCCCCTCCCACCGTGTGAGGACACAGTGACAAGCTGGCTGTCTGCAACCTGGAAGCGGGCTCTCACCCGACACTGAACCTGCCAGTGCCGTGACCTTGGACTTCCCGGTCTCCAGGACTGTCAGAAATAACTGTCTGTTGTTCATAAGCCTCGCGGGCTATGGTTCCTATGGACATTCAAACGTATGGCTTCTCTCAGAAAGAAAGGAGGGGTCACGCCCTGGCCGGTTTGGCTCAGCGGTTAGAGCGTCAGCCTGTGGTCCTGAGAGACCCGGGTTCGGTTCCCGCTAAGGGCACGTACCTCGGTTGCAGTGTGTCCCCGGCCCTGGTTGGGTTGTGTGGGTGGCAACTACTCGATGTGTCCCTTTCACGTCGATGTTTCTCTCTCTCTCTCTCTCTCCCTCCCACTCTATCTGAACAAAATATCAAAAAAATGTCCTCGGGTGAGGATACAAAAAAAAAAAAAAAAAAAAAGAAAGGAGGGGTCAGGAACCTGTGGGCCCGCCCTGTGGCCTGGTAATACGTGGCCAGGGAAGGAGCTGCTCCAGGTTGCCCCCGTCTTCCCCACCTGGCCCAGGCGCTCACTGACCTGTGGGTCCCTGAAGATATCCAAAGTTCTGACTCCGTGGTAGACCTGAACATGCCCAGGTCTGCTGGGCTCCACGCCATGTCCAGCGTTTCCCATCTGGGGTGTCCCAGCGGCCCCTGAGCTGACTGCCCTCCCTGACCTCCACCAGCCTCCCAGTTCTGTCTTCAACAGCCCTTCTCTGACCCCCAAACAGATGTGCCCTTTAAGCTCACCTTCCGATCCCTTCCCCCTTCTGCTAAGTTGTCATTCACCACCAGACAGAAAGTTCCCAGAGGACAAAGAGTATGTCTCATGCCTGTTTCGGAAGATTGACACAGGACTTCAGCAGGCTGCCTTTGCACAAAGT